TCACGCTCAATGGTTACTTCATCATCCGACTCAGATTCACTTGCACAAAAATCATCGTCTTAAGGAAATTTGTTAAATAGAACTTATCAATTACAGAACTAATTATTTAATATTTATACCATTTTCCTCATCACGTGAGTTGACCGAAGGTGTTTTAGAAGCCCTATCCTGCGTCAAACCTTCTTGCACTATCGAGCTCAGCTTATCAGCCTCACCAACGATAAAGGCCATGTGAGCATCGAGCGCTTTTCGTTTCTTGGCTTCCAGAATTTCCTGAAAATAGTTATCAGCATACAGGACAAATACCGATTACCTCAGATTCAAAATCACCTGCGCTCGATGTTCCACGACCTTGTCCACATTCATCCAAAATTCGCGAACCATTTTTGCAATTGAAGCGCAGACTCGCTTACCATCCTAATTGATATAACATTTCTTTCTAAACTTCGAGTCAACCAACAAAAACCACAACCATTTCTCACCCTTATAGCTCGTTGTTGAGCTCGCTCTTGTTCAAGCTCATCGTCTCTCCGCTTTTTCTGAATGGCTGAAGCAATCTAAAAGAAAGATTTTGAGCACCTAGGATTCATTTGAAATACAGCAATCAATGAATAGAATACAAATCAAACACAAATCAAATCAAACAATACCTTTCGTGCAACTGTGCGTTTGAACTGCCGTTCCATACGGAAATCTGTAGCCATCCATTTCACTTCTTCGAGAACGTAATCCCAGTGCGTTTTATTTCGAGGAGGGTCGACACACAACGGAAGACGGCTGCCACTCCATAAACCACTTCGTTTCAACTCAGCGATTCGCATTATTACTTGTGCTTCCTGACATAACAATTTGAAGGTGAATTGATTCCAAAAATTTAGCACACCAAACGCATTTAAGATGGCGTGATAATCCGTGGGATAAACAATTACCAGCATAAGGGAGTATGCTATGCTGCAAGGCAGGACGAATACCCACCCCTATTTGTTCAAAATAGGTCAATGCAACCATTAAATTTTGGGTAAAGAGAGAGAGAAAAGTTGCACAAGGAGTCAAAACTAACAAGGGAAGGATACCAGGTCGAAGTGGCCATTTGTAACGAGACATACACCACTAGATGTGTTTTTGGACGCTGATCTCGAATCTGCTCTCCAAATCTGCGGAACGATTCTCTGAACGTAGTTATGAAGCGAGGTAGTGGGATCGAATTTTCGGCGAGTTTGACTTTTGCTTTTCCTGAGGACATTGTTAAGGAAATCCTCATCTATGCTAAGTCATCAGCACTCGCCTTTATTACTAGTGCGAGGAGATAGCGAGGAGTTTCGATCAAGTGTGCGTGCCATGTGCAAATGACCAACGGTGACTGCCCACATTTGCAAAGTTAGGTACAAATTTCAGATTTGGACCAAAAGTTGTGGAAAGGGGCATTTTGACGCGCTGAATACGAATATCACCTCTGTTTGGCACGAATGCGCCTGACGCGTGCGCTACGAGTACAAGGGGCGATCTTTTGCGAATGGCGCGCACAGTGTTAGATGCTCCTCGCTAGCTATTCCCACTTGTAATATAGGCAATCGCTAATAATTTATATGGATAAAAGCATCTTTAGCAATGTCTCAAGGAAAGCAAATGTGAGATATCGCCAAGAATTCGATCCCACGACCTCTTTCGTCGGCCGGGCCGCTGCCACTGCACTATCTCGCTTCATAACTACGTTCAGAGAATCGTTCCGCAGATTTGGAGAGCAGATTCGAGATCAGCGTCCAAAAACACATCTAGTGGTGTATGTCTCGTTACAAATGGCCACTTCGACCTGGGATCCTTCCCTTGTAAGTACCAATCGCGACACGCGAATGATTTCCATTAAAAGAGCTTATAATTGTTATTTGAAACACTTGTTTTTAACAAAACAAAATAAAAGAAAAAATGCAGAAATGATTCCGCAACCAAAACATGGCGCGATTCTGGTCCAGCTGCAGTGGACCATAGAATAAGAATGCAAGGTGCATTGCTCTGCTTATATCTCACCACTACATGTTTCGAAAATAAAATTTTCCCTGATCCAAGAAGCCATAGCAATAAAATCGCAACGTTTTTTTTTTTTACGATGGGCCACCAAATTCGAGGTTGAAGGATGACAACGCGGTTCATCAACTAGAGATGGAGATTTACTGTTCCAGTGAGCACAAAGACGAACAAGGAACCAGATAGCTGCCAGCCGTTACTAGATGGAAAGTTAGCCATCAGTCAGTTATGAATCTTATAGAACGGATAGAACAACCGGACTCGAAATACCTACCTGTTGTAATGAGAATTCAGCGCCAAAATCTGCTCTGTTCACAGATAAGAGAGAATTCGTGGGAGCCGACGCGGGGTTGCCGACTGCAAAATTTGAGCAATTAAATGAATTAGATTCGCTTCAAAGGAAAGGGAAGATGGAAATATGAAATGCATAAAATGGAAGGTATTTTCACAATCACTCTACCAATATGTGAATGAAAAAATTGGGATCAGGGCTACGCATTAAAAGGAGATCGGCAATGGACAAACCTCATCATCCACCTTAACTTCTATTGGAGATAGTCTCCCGGATGGAGATGCCTGCGACCGATCTGTAATATTTAATCCATATTGTTTCTGCATGCAAAACAAACATTCACGACGATTCTTAGGTAGGAAAACTGTCAAGGGACTTGGGTTCCATAGTGCAGTGTCTGAGAGTAATTCTGAACACTCACCACTGGAGCGTGTTCGGGGTGTCACTGACCGGTGTTGAGATCCTTGTTCTTGCGCCTTCACTATATCTTCTGTTACCCTAAAAAGAAAAAAAAAACTCTTTGAACGGAACGGACTTCATTAACTTATACATCTTCCTTTCGAATTAGACAATAACCAAAGGAAAAAAAAATGTTATGTATTAACCAACTTGTCTTCTATGTCTGCCAACAAGCTTTCTGCTTCAGATGGGATCCTTAGTTTACAACTATTAGCAGCAGGTCCCACTTTGTATCGCTTCTCTCTGAAAAATCTCACATTATGAAAACAGTAGTGCAATAAGAGGGGGGGGTGGCGGGGGGGGGGGGGGGGGGGGGGGGGGGGTATATGTAAAAGAGGGTTACTCAACATTGAATCCCTGCTACTTCGAAGCCCGTAATAATAGTATAAATATTGTATATTCATTCATTTTCTCGCGCATTCCGTCTCCGATACTGAAGAAAAACACTAGACAGGGGGGGGGGGGCCAAAACATTTTTGACACACTATTGGCAACTAGCTTCACTCATTTATTATTAATTTGATAATGTCTTGCCTTTTGTAGTAATTGCTGAATGAGATGTTTCCAGCCAGGTTTTTGGTCTAGACGATGACGCACAAACTAGCGATAGGTAGCAGATAAGGAAGCGTGCCTTCAAAAGAAGGTTAACAAGAAGGAAAAACACAAGCGAAGGTTTACCTTGACCCTGCCGTTATTTCAATATTAAAAACAAAATCATGTCCTTTGAAGAGCCCCGAAAAGACACCAAGTGAAGTAGCAATGTGTAGGATTCCCTTATATTCAGCCTATTTCTCTCGACAGATGAGCACAGGAGCAGAACCGTTATCTCGCTCTTTTCATTTTATGCACTTTTTCATTGCATGAATCTATTTTTCTGCCGAGACGTCTGGTTCATTCCCCGTTCAGATTCGCTTCAGATAGTGGCTGCAGTTCCGGAAAGCCGATGGGGAAATGAGTTAGGTACTGTGTCGCGTGGAAATCTGTTAAAGCCTTTCGTTATACCATGTTGCCCTGAACATCGCGGCCATGTGATAAACCTTATAACGACGATTTTCAAATGAGTATTTTTTTCTCACCTTCTTTGCCGTTGACGGTGACCGCCAGACCACTTGAGAACGCTCCTCGTAGTAGTGGCATTACAATGAGGCGAAGAAGGGGATGAAATGCTAAAAAATGACACTTCAAGATCGATAGGCAAAGCGGATAAGAAAAACGAGCGCATCGTCACTGAAAGAAGCCAAAGCGGTGCAGAATCACATAATAAACAGAAAAGAATTCGGTAACATATAAAAAGAACCTATATAACCGCGAGCATGTTAACTGGAAAGTAGAGGTTCACAACATTATTAATAAATCAAGGGTCCATTTTCAAATAATTAGCTTTCTTTTTTCTAATCAAACTGTACCAAACATCACCAACAATAGTTCGTCGAAAGGCTGGATGTGGTATATACAAAAACTATCATGAATTATCCCAAAATCCCAACACTCTGAATTGATCATTCCTTCAGCCATCACTTTGTGAGAAACCTGCACTTTCAACCCCCAAATTGCAATGGCGTTGAATACAACACTACTATTTAGCGCCACGTTAAGCTTAGTCCACTCAGGCTCCACTCTTGCGCTTCTGGTTGCCATTAAAGAGCTCAGCACTTCGGTAACAAACATTTCCTACATTGCTCACTAGATGACTTTTGAATCATGCACGCTAATATTAGGATCTTATATTCTGGACACAAATTTGAAAGATCCAGAATTACCAAAGCTTACAACGAAACCAGTAATTGATGATTCTGCAATTCTGGGGGGCCCCTCCCTACCTTTACCCTCTCCTGTCAACCTAGGGCCTCTGCTCAATGTTCTGATTTCTTAGGCTGGATGTCAGAGTCCGCGATCCGCTCTTCGCGATTTTCGCGATTTGCGCGATTTTCGCGAAACCTGCGATGGATCACAGGAGTTGGAAGTGCCCGATGAATACTGCGAGGTGTTGTTTAATCCTGCTGCGAATTCTGCTTGGCAGTAAAGATTGGAAGACGAATGTTTGTGGTTCTACTTGTTTCATGTTCAATGTCTATTAGTTCATTGAAATGCTCTTGAATCGTTCCTATTTTTTTCAGGAATCAAACCAAACCAATCACAAAAATTGCAAGTGCCCCATTTGAACAATTGAAACACTGGATATGAAACAAGTGGAATCATGAGCAGTCTCCATTAAACCATAACCATCAAGCAGAAGTGGCGGCGGGATTGGAGAACACCTTGCAGTATTGATCGGGCACTTGTGATTTCCGTGACCCGTCGCGCGAATCGCGAAAATCGCGCAAAGGATCGCGGACTCTGACACCAGCCTAATGTGTATCGAAGGCGTGTACAGTCCGTACGCGAGAGTTGGGTAGGCGTGCCGCACTTGGTAGATGTTGTGTGGATAAGCTGCTTCCAACCAGGGTCGGTCCT